CTCTTCGGCTTTGAAACGGAGATGAGCACCGCAACCCTAGAGTCGGATTCGACTGGCTTTCGAGCAAGGGAACCTTTACCCTTTACCTTTGTGGCTGTGCCCAGAATGCTGAGTCAAAATTCCTAAGGTGCCCACAGACTCAAAAAGGTTAGGGATCCTTGTCCTCCTGACATAACATGGTTATTGTACTGTGGGATAATCATGTTGGGGTCACACAGTGTTCCATTTCCCCCATTCATTTTAATGAAACCCTCAAATTTAAAAAAAAATTAAATAAAATAACCACACACATGCACATAAGGCTGTGTGTGTTGAAAGTTAGGCGAGAAGCAAAAGGGGAAAGTTTTATGTTTTAATTAATACCACCCCGGAGTCCATTATGGCTCCAAAAGCATGCAACAAAAATTGAAAGCAGCACACAGATCCCAGAAAACATGGACTTTGGTATGTTATGCATGTGTGGAAATGCCCCTGACATCTGTCAATTAGAGCAGCCAACTGCTTAGGCAGGGAGAAGACGGTCTCGTATATGCCGCAGGACCCTGGAAAAAATAAAATTAGCCACGGTGAACGGGGAAGCATCAAGGACAGAACATGCAGTTTGGCTGAAACTCCTGCCATGTCAAATGAGAAATCCCTAATGAAGGCGTGAAAGTGTTTCCCACGAGTATAAACTGGGATCACTGCCATGAATCAGAACAGCATCCATGCAGAGTCCTGTCGGCACATGGCTAGCAGTTCCACGAGGAAGCTTTTAAGTCCATCACCTGTCTGAATCTAGTCCAGGTGGAGAGGTTACCAAAAGGCACTCTATTGGGCAAGATGCCACTCCCTTCGACCAATCACCGAGGGTGCTCCAATTTTCAGCATCCGCCTAAAGGTTAAGGAGCAAAAGGACCATGAAAGGGAGGAGCCACACATGGGCCTAGTCATCTCAAGACTTCTCAAAAGAAGGATGCTTCCAGGATATGACAACAGTTCCCAGCTATTCCAGAATTGTAGCAATGTGACAGCTAAGCGAGAGCTCTCCTTTTGCTCTCTGAAGAACACAACGGATTTCACTAGCTTCAGATAAAATGAACAGAGAACACGTGAAGCTTCCTTCTACTGAATCAGAGCTTTGGTCCATCAACGTCTACTCAGACCGACAGCAGGATCTCAGACAGAGGTCTTTCACATCAACTACTGAAGATGCCAGAGACTGAACCTGGGACCTTCTGCACACCAAGCAGATGCTCTACAGCTGAGCCACAGCCCCTCCCCCAGGAAGGAGGCAGGGGGAAAGGAACAGCATGTTTCATTGTGGCTTGGAAATGAAGAATCAGCCATGGAGAGGAGGGCTCTTTAAGGGCCCAGCTGTGCAGCCAGATTAACTTAATGTATTTACTTCCAATGTAAACAAATGTGCACATGAAAAATGACTCTGGGAGAACAAATCCCACTCCATGCACGAGGCAAGAGAGATTAAACCATTTCCAAAGCAAGAGGTCGAAGGGCATCGGTCGGAAACTTTCCCCCAGTTGTTTGGGGTGGTTCAGAAGACAAGGCTACTTCCTGGCGTCTCAGAAAATAGTAAGTATGCTGCTAGATCAGACCAAAGAATCCTCGAGAGTCCGGACAACCAGTCGCTGGTAGGAACCACCAGCCACCCCTGGAGAGGGATCAAAGAAGGAACCTACTCTTCCGGGAAACCATCAAGTGATGAAGGCAGGGAGCCCTCTCAGAACCCTGCGAGGTCCGAACCAGCTAGCAGACTTCAGCGGCAGGTGGTAACCAGTCAGCGGTAACCACGGCCTTCCACAGTGCTAGGACCTCCCACCCACCTGCCGCCTCATTCACCGCCAGCACTTTGCAGCAAGGGTTGGCTCCCCCCAACACACCCCTGCAGCAAGCAGCTCCCACCCGCAAACCACCTGACTGGCTGCTGCTCACCGCCCCCACCAGCCAGTCAGATGCTTTCAGGAAGCAACATCTCCCCTCCCTGGTTTGCCTCTATGGCTGATCAGCCACACAGTTCAGATCTCCTGTACCATCTGAGATTCCAGACGATCCCTCTCTATCCACTTTCTCCCTACCCTTTGTAATTTGATAACCCCACCCTGACCTGGATAGCCCACACCGGCCTGGTCTCGTCAGATCTCGGAAGCCCTGAAAATCCCACCCTGACCTGGATAGCCCAGACTGGCCTGGTCTCATCAGATCTCGGACGCTAAGCAGGGTCAGCTCCAGGGAAGCCTGGAGTCCCTATGCAGAGACAGGCCATGGCGAACCACCTCGGTATGTCTCCTGGCTTGGAAACCCTACAGGGCTGCCATAAGTCAGCTGTGACGCGCTTTCCACCACCACCACCACCACCCTGCCAATCCCTCCCATTCGCTGTCACCTTTCTGTCCCCCCCCCCAAACTGAAAATCCAAAATGCTGCAGATGTGGAAGCTGCCGGCAAATCCTCAGAACCAGTCCTCCCCCTCTAACCTTTGGAGTCTTGTGAGCAGAAATTCTACTTTGTGAGCTACTGGCATTAAAGTTGTGGGCGAGCGATTTGGCCGCTGCATCAGTTAGTTTGCTCTGGAGCCACCCTTCCTGAGCTAAGACAAAAAATGTGTGAGCCGGAGGCTAAAAAACTGTGAGCTTGCTCGCACTAACTCAGCTTAGAGGGAACACTGCTCAGAACCACAGGGTGGCGGGCCACTGTCACTCCACCCTGTAGATTCAGAGTAACTGGGACGTCTCACCCAGCGCGTGGAGGCAGGGGAGGGAACCAGAGCGGCTCCTCCCTCCCTGAGGAGGTGCCTCCTGGCAAACTGCTGAAAATGCCCCCCCTCGAAGAATGTCTTTCCTCTGACCCATTTGCTGGCCTCACTACAAAACTGTGCCAATGTTTTCTGCTCCCCCCCCCCCATTCCCTTCTGGGCTCCTGTTCAAAAGGAATTCCACGTATGCCAAGAGCACAACCCACAGAGCCACCACCAACTACAAGAAGGGCCACGAATCAATGGCAGCTACATGCTTTGCATATGCAGAGTCCCGGGTTCGATTCCGGCAATCCCCATTTAAAAGATCTCCAGAGGCAGAGCTAGGAAAGTCCCCCTCCTGAGATGGGGGGGGGGGACACTACCACCTTAAGCAGGCAATGCTACAAGAGATTAACTGATCACTTGCTTCTCTGCAAGGCAACTCAGCATTTTTGTGACAAACTGTAGAATTAAGCTCTACATTTGCCAGGCATGGACTTGGATGGAATGCGTTTGGAGCACCACTGTGTTATGCATGTTTACTTGGGAACAAGTCCCCACTGAGGTCAACAGGACTGATGCCCAAGAAAGCACATCAAGGATCGCATCTGAACGAATGCATGCTGAAAGGCCATGTGGTTGCACATGTGAACACAAATACGATGCACCGGCAGCAGCTATCCAGGGTCTCAGGCAGAGGTCTTTTCACATCACCTACTGTCAAATTCTTTTAACTGGAGATGCCGGGGATTGAACCTGGGACCTCCCTCATGCCAAGCAGATGCTCTACCACTGAGCCACCTGCCCCTCCCAAAGATCATTGCCCCTTTCAGCACACATCCATCCACCTGCACCAGGGGGGTCTGTAGCAAAGGGAGTGAGCTCTGACCAGGAAACCTTATGCTGGGGTCTCTAGAGCGCCACTAGACTCGCATTGCATTGACAGCCAGTTTAGTGTAGTGGTCACCAGTGTTCCCTCTAAGCTGAGTTAGTGTGAGCTGGCTCACAGTTTTTTAGCCTCCAGCTCACAGATTTTTGTCTTAGCTCAGGAAGGAGGGCTCCAGAGCAAACTAATGTATGCAGTAGTCAAATCGTCTGCTCACAACTTTAATGCCAGTAGCTCACAAAGTAGCCTTTTTGCTCACAAGGCTCTGCAGCTTAGAGGGAACATTGCTGGACTAGGATCCAGAAGCTGGGGGTGGGTGGGTGTTGGATCTCCTCTTGGCCTGAAACTTGCTGAGTAGGGTTACCAGATTGTGGGCAGCAAAAAAGAGGCCACATTTCCTGACTGACTACTTCAAACAAGCGATCACTGTGGCAAATCTCATCTTCAATACCCCTACTATTTACACCATGATAACTGCTACTAACTAGGAATATTCCTAACCTTCCAACCGCCCTCAAAAAGGACATTTTCATCATGTTTTCTTTAAAGGACCCCCCAAAAAGAGGACATCTGGCAACCCTATTGCTGCGTGACCTCAGGCCAGTGTTCCCTCTAAGCGGACACATTTGTGTCTTCAACTCAGGAAGGAGGGCTGCATGATTCATGCAGGAGGCAAATCGCTCGCTCGCTCACAAAGTGCCATTTTTGCTCACGAGACTCCACAGCTCAGAGGGAGCATTGCTTCGGGTCAGTCACTCCCGCTCTCCTCCTTCACCTAGGGTCACTCACAAGGTGGTCGCGGGAATGAGAGGAGGAGGACCGCGCAGGGCACACAGAAGAGCGACAAAGGGTGCGGTCACACGGATGTTTAGTGCGGGACTCGCAGCTGATTTCTCCCGCAGTACAGATTCCTGTCTACATTATTTCCCGGAATCGGAGCTGATTTCTCCCGCACTAAAGTTTACTGTCTACATAGGCAAACCCGCTTCCAGTATCGAAACCGGCAGACTCCCGCGGTTTCTGATCTTTTATCCGCGTTTTTTTGACCCTGGTGAAACTCCTCGTTCCGGCGCCTCCCCTTTGCCGAACGGACGAATCCGCTCCGAGCAAGCCTCCTCTGGCAAGCAGGACCGAACAACTCCGCCTTCCCCACCTCTCCTCCTGACCCAAGGGCCACCGCCTGGGCCGGGGGGGGGATGTTGGCCTGCCAGCGTCGCAGTTCTCCCAACTGATGGAGCCGGGCAGGGGAGGCAGGGCGTTGCGTTGGCGCGGCGGCGGCTCGTCTGAACGCTGCGCACGGGTCCGGCGACCAAGCGCGCGAGGCGAAGGCAGTGCGCCCCCCCCCCAGCCCATCCTCCGGCCCGCGCCCGGCGCACCCACCTGCTTGGTGAAGAGGACGGCGGTGTCCCAGTACTCGGGGTGCTTGTCGCTGCCCTTGTTCCACTTCTTCTGCCAGACGCAGAAGTTGCGCAGGGAGAGGGCGGCGTTGCTGGTGACCTTGGGGCCCTTGTCGTCCTGCCCGATGACCAGGAACTTGACCACCACGACGTTGATGGGGTTGAGGATGCTGGCGTGCCGGTAGAGGCGGGCCGCCGTGGCCATCAGGGTGAGCAGGTAGTGCTGCAGGTCGTCGCCGTGGAACTTGACCATGGACTCGTCGGCCACCACCAGCGTCTCCACGTAGCGCGGGATGGAGACGAAGCGCTTGGCGCGGCCGCCCTTCTTGGCCGGCCGGGCGCCGGTCTCGTTGCCCGGCCTCCAGCCGCCCGCCGCCGCCGCCGCCCCCTGCTGCTGCTGCGAGACCTTGTACTTCTCCAGGGCTTGCAGGATGGCTGGGTTCAGGTTGGAGCCCACGCCGCAGCGGGAGGTGGGGCTGCCGGCGGGGCCGGGCGCGCTGCGGCGCTGCAACAGGTGTTCGCCTTGGCTGCTCCACAGCGCCCGGTTGCCGCTGTCGTTCTGGAAGGGGCTGATGAGGTACTCCGCCCCGCGGTAGCCGAAGGCCCCCGTCAGCCCCCCGCAGAGGCTCAGGGCGGCGAAGGAGTCCCGGTCCGAGTTGACGTCCCCGGAGTAGAAGCAGTGGCGCGGCGCGCCCTCCTCGCCCCGGCCGGCGCGGGGCCCCAGGTACTGCGTGGCGAAGTGGGGCGCGATGAACTGAGCGTCCGGGCTCAGGTTCAAGTAGAAATCCTCGTGGAAGGCGGTGATCTGGTAGATCGCCCTGTGCTGGGGAGGATCCGCCGGCCCCCTCTTGGAATACTGCCGCCCGCTCAGGTCCGGGTCTAAGCGGATGGGGGTGACGATCTCCGTCTCCAGCGGGGCGCAGAGGGCGGGCAGGGCGGCCAGGCAGAGCCAGAGGGAGCCGCGCAGCAGCATGGCTGGTCCGGTCCGGTCCGGTGGGGAAGAGACGAGGCTCGGAGCTGGGACGCCCTCCGCGATGTCAATGTCACGGGGAAGTTCTTCGCGACGTCAGTTTCACCCGGCCCTTCTCCGCGCTGGTCAGTTTCACGGGGACTCTCTCCGCCGTGTCAATTTCACCGCCGGGGCGCGGGGAAAGGCAGTCCCGGGGCGCCCCGGGGGAAGCAAGGAAAGAAAAAATCTGCTCGCCAACCCGGCGCGCCCTCAGCCAGCCGCCTCGCCCGCTCCGGCTCTGCAGCTCCAGCTTCGGCTTAAAGGGGCATCCCGGTCGAGGTCGTCTTCCTCCTATTCCTCCTCCTCCTTTTTCTCCTCCCCCCCGGTACAGTACCTGGCTTTTCAAAAATGCATCTGACTTCTCAGGGCTTTATATACATCGCTGTCATGTGCCAGCGCGAGCGAGCGGGTTTGTAACCAGAGTTTCCTTTCCTTTCCTTTTTTTTCCTTTTCTTTTTGTGTGTGTGTGTGCGTGCAAGGGGAGGTCCTGAAGACTCTTATTGGACCTGCCCTCAGCCACTTGCCGCTCTCCCAAGCTCCGAGTCGCCCAGCGCAGCGCCTTCTCGCTCGGCTTTTAAAGAGCCACGACAGTTTGGAGACGCTGGCTTGACCCGCCCCGGTTTGAGCTGACTTTTGCAACGGTGAAAGGTCCGGGGACGGGACGGGTGTTGCAGCCCCCGCTGTGTGCGGCGCGCTGTTCCTTTTCCTGTCTCCTTCTCCGCAGCCGCTTCGCCCTGGTTGGCTTCCACTTTTTGGGCTCCCGCTCTAATTAAAGGCCCCGCTCCTCTGACCCGGCTGTTTTCCGCAGGGCTGAGGTTTTGTTTGTGAGCGCTTCGCTTCTCCTGAGCCCCGGGGAAGCGCTGACAAGCCAAAGGCAGCTGCCAAAAGGATGTTAGTTTTCTTTCTTTTTTTCTTCTCGAGATGCCTCTGAATGGAGCCCGAGACTGTGCACAAGGCGGCCTCTCTCCCTCCTCATTAATTAGAGCGCCGCTTATCATTTCCGACTTGGAAAGCTCTCCCCGCGCACTGTGGGCTGTTTTGGGGTCGCCTGGAACCTGACGAATAACTCCCTGTCGTCCTTCTTCCTTCGTTCAGCGGCATTTGGCAGAAAGGTCCGGGCCCCCCCCGCCCCACCCACACACGCTCCGTTTATTTCAATGCCAGTTAATTGGGTTGCCAACCTCCAGGTAGGGCCTGGAGTTCTCCTGGAATTGCTACTGACCTCCAGACTACATAGATCAATTCCCCTGGGGTTGCCAACTCCGGGTTCGGAAATCCCTGGAGATCTGAGGCTGATGCCTGAGAGGCTGGCATCCCTATTAGGTGGCAGTGATGGGGGTACCTCCCTGAGCTCCGGGGATGAAAAGCAGAATATCAATCAAGGGCACAAATAATCCAGTTGCTTTCTGTACTCATAGATCAAGATGAGTAGCTGTGCTAGTCCGTCTGTAGCAGAAGAAAAGAGCAAGAGTCCATTGGCACCTTGTTGTTCAGTCGCACAGTCGAGTCCGACTCTTTGCGACCCCATGGACCACATCACGCCAGGCCCTCCTGCCCTCAGTCGTCCTCCGGAGAACCACCTCATCCTTTGCCGAACCCTTCTTCTTTGACCTTCCCCAGCATCAGGGTCTTCTCCTGCGAGTGCTCCCTTCTCATTTGATGGCCAAAGTATTTGAGCTTCAGCTTCAGTATCTGGCCTTCCATGGAACAGTCAAGGTAGATTCCTTTTAGGACTGACTGATTTGATCTCCTTTCAGTCCAAGGGACTCTCAAGAGTTTTCTCCAGAGACTCTTGAGTGTTCTCCAGCACCATAATCCAAAAGCATCTATTCTTTGACGCTTGGCCTTCCTCATGGTCCAACTCGAATAAGTGAGCAGCGACTCATGAAAGCTCATCCTCTGCCACATATCTTGTTAGTTCTTAAGGTGCCAATGGACTCTTGCTCCTTTCCCATTGAACTCGGACAGGCCTAACTTCCAAATATGGCGGTGGGAAGTGCTATCAAGTCCCAGCAGAATTATGGAGACCCCCAGTGGGGGTTTAAGGCAAGAGGTGGACAGAGGTCGGTCATTGGCTAACCTGGGGTGCCCAACCTTTTTGAGCCTGTGGGCATCTTTGGAACTGTGACGCAGGGGGGGTGGGGGCAACCACAAAATGACTGCTGTAGGAGGTGGAGCCACGTCCCACAAAGGAAGCTCAAATACTCTGGGGAAGAGGGGCCAGAGACAATAAAACAAACACTTAAGGTGGCAGGGGCCACTGAAACAATGTCATTTTACTCTGCATAGCCAAACAGATCTTCAGCAGCCAATCAGAAGCCCTGCTGGGTAAGATCCCCACCTGGCCCCACCTACTTTGTAAAAACACTTGGCGGGCACCCAAAAAGGTGTCCACAGGCAACATGGCACCCATATGCACCACGTTGTGGAACCATGGGCTAAATTGGCTATGGCTTGCCTCCTAGCACCGCATCTCCCTGACGTGCAGGGATGCGAAAGCTGAAGTCATTGAAAGCCCATGTGGTATAGTTCTCACCTTTAAAGCCCTTTATGGTCAGGGGCCTACGTACCTGAGGGACCACCTTTCCCCACACGTTCCCCAGAGAGCACTGAGTTCAGGGTCTCAAAACCGTCTGGCCCTCCTGGGTCCCAAAGGTTGCAGGCTGGCTACGGCCAGGGCCAGGGCCTTCTCAGTGACGGCTCCGCACTGGTGGAATGAGCTCCCAGAAGACACTCGTTGAACAGAAGTTTCAGACCCTGTGCCCTAATACCACCACCGACAGCCTGTGCTTCACCAGCATGATTCGGATCAAGATGACAGTCCTCCTAACACCAGTGCTGACTGCACTCTTCATTATGATTGATTTGTTACCAGTGTTCCACCGTCGTCACATAATATTGTACACTAGCACTTTATGACTGGTTTTATATTTGCTATGTCTTTACAAGCCGTGGCTCGGTGGCTCAGGCTGAGCAGGCTGAAGTTAAACCCGGTGAAGACGGAGGTCCTGTGCTTGAGTCGGACCGGATCGGGGTTAGGGCTCCCGCTTCCGACCTTTGATGGGGCACCTTTGGTGCCAGCTTCGGAGGTTAGGAGTTTGGGAGAGCTTCTGGACTCTACCTTAACGATGGAGGCCCAGGTGGCAGCCACTGCCAGATCAGCCTTTTATCATCTTTGGCTGATACGGCAGTTGGTTCCTTTCCTCGACCACAATGACCTAACTACAGTGATCCATGCGACGGTCACCTCAAGGTTAGACTACTGTAATGCTCTCTACATGGGGCTGCCTTTGTCGCAAATCTGGAAGCTACAGCTGGTGCAGAATGCTGCGGCCAGGATGTTGGTGGGCGTCCCTAGCTGGGAGCACACCCGACCTGTACTGAAAGCGCTGCACTGGCTGCCTATAGCATACCAGATTCGCTTCAAAGTGCTGGTGCTTACCTTTGAAGCCCTACATGGCCAGGGTCCGACATACCTGAGGGACCGCATTTCCATGACCCTAGCCTTCCCCTCTGGTACGCAAGATGTTAGGAGTTTTATATGTGCATCCGTCGAAACCGATTTTTAATAGTTTTAATTTTTGTATACTATATGCACTCTGTGCCCTATGTGAGCCACCCTGAGCCCGTTCGCGGGGAGGGCGGGGTATAAATGCAATTAAATAAATAAATAAATAAATAAATATCTGTTTTAATTTTTATGTAAACAACCCTGAGCCTGCTTCAGCAGGGAGGGTGGGGTATACATCAAATAAATAAATAAATAGTAGTCAGAGTGCTGGTTTGCCATGGCCTGCCTCTGCGTAGCAACCCTGGACTTCCTTGGCAGCCCCCCATCCAAGCCGCTCTGAGACTCCGAATGAAGGGGGGGGTATAAATCCAATCTCCTCCTCCTCCTCCTCTTCTTCTTCAGGGCCACCCCTGCATGGCTTCCAAGATCTGATGAAACCTTATGCAGTCTGCAGGACCATCTCTCCCAATATGTCCCCTGAAGGGCTTTATGCTTGGCTGAACAATATACTTTGGTAATCCCAGGCCCCCAAGACATCCACTTAACCTCAACCAGGCTTTTTCAGCTCTGGCCCCAGCCATGTGGAGCACTCTCCCTGGTGAGATCAGGGCCCTGCAGGATTTCATGCAGTTCCACAGGGCCTGTAAAACAGAGTTGTTCCGCCAGGCCTTTGGTTGAAGCTGCAGATGTCGAGCTATATTGGCCTCCACTGCTCTAATCTGTCTCTGATTCGCCTTACACTGTGCACTTTATTAAATTGTTCCATTGGTGGAATATGCTGGCCCTTGGGCATATACATAGTCTACACCTGGGAGCCATCATGTGTTACACGATTGGGTTCATAGGTAAGAAATTGTAAGTATTTTGTACTACTTTTAATTGTTTTACTTATTTGTTGATGAATGAGTTCGACACCCCTGGTTAGCCAATAACAGACATTGTCGATCCCTATGAATAACATCTCAAAGCAACGGAAATTCTAGGATGTTGTTTAGGCCTCAGTTGTTGCCATTCTAGGACACACTTATCTGCAGCCGATCTCTCGCTCCCAATGTTCCTGAAACGGAGATAACCCTGACCATGAAATCAGTTTAAGTCTCGTGTACTTTTCAAAATGTATAACCCAAACAACCCCCTTCCGGAGGGCTTGCTGTGTTTGGCCTGACTTGAAATATGTTGCTGGCAAAGGGAAGAGCTTTGCAGCGCGGCTTTGCACGGGCTCAGCTCCTCGTTTCGTCTGCGCTGCTGCAGCTCGTGCAAAGCGGCTGTGCAAACTGAGCTCCCCAGCACAACTTCGGACATCAGATGCGCAACACAGCCGACTTAGCTGGCTTGCATCCATTAAAGCACAGTTTAAATGCAAGGCCAGGCCCATGCAAAGTCACCAGCAGGGAGGCCCTGTGCTTTACTGGGACTGTCTCTAAATCGAGGCTTAGTCTGCTGTGGCACAAACAAAAAATGTGCCACCTTGTAGGCTAATTTTTGTAACAAGCCTTGCTGAGTGGTACCAAATGGGGAAGGGCCGTGGCTCAATGGAAGAGCCTCTGCTTTGCATGCAGAAGGTCCCTGGTTCAGTCCCCGGCGTGTCCAGTGGAAAAAATTCCAGGCAGTATGTGAAAGACC